TGGTGTGGTGGTGGTGGTCGATTACGCGCGCGCGCATGACACGCGTGCGCACAGAGCGATTGCGTGTCCTCTCCCATAGCCATAGCAATAGGTTCACTCAGTGTGGCCAAAGATCACTAACGTTCGAAAACGTGCGCGGCGAGTGGCGATGTCCGCAGAGCAGCGTGAGACCGCCATTAAAAGCCCACATACCACATTCTCCTACGAAGCGACGATTTAAGGTAACGTTTTGATCTTAGAGCTACCCTTCGTCTTCGCTCTGCGTTAATTCCCCATGGCCTTTGCCATGACGATTAACGAAGCGCAGGGGCAAACCTTCGAGAAATTAGGAGTGCTTTTGCCGCGCAATGTCTTCTCACGTGGCCAGCCAAAATGGCTGATCCAAGATGGCGACCCCCCCCCTTAAGTCCATATTCGCATTCATTGCTCCTAAATTCTTCCGTGTTTTTGGACGGACTACTGACTAGTATTAAGAAATACACGCGAGTCAATGTCATACACGGATCATTTCATCGGACGTGAGATTTGACTGAAGTCAAATCTCATCATTTTTAAATTGAATGTGATTTCCCAGAGGAAGGTAGCGAAGCCACGATGATCTAAATCCCCGGTAATCCGCTTTATTTTCAGATCCTTCATTCCATCTATTTCCTTCTCTCAGGCGGTCAATCTCGTCGAGATGCTTCGTTACAACATTGGCCATTTTCCTATGTCACTCGCATTTCCCTTAGAGGTGCATGGGGAATGATGGAACGGATTTTTGAATACGGTAACTGCTGAGCTGCATGAACTCGAGAAACAAGACAGAAGACGACCTTCAAATTCAAGCAGCCGAATAGTGGATTCCCAGACGCCTTCTTCATCTGTGTATTCACGCTTCGGCCAAGCTTTTCGCTTGCCAAAGGCTTTCTAATGTCCATCTGAAGGCATTCAAAATCAGGAGCTCTTTATGAGATGAAAATGTGTGAACCACAGTTCTGCAGTTGTTGCAACAGCCGGGTACGTGTCTGGTTTGATCCTTGAGAGACGAGGAAATCACTTTTAAACCTCTGAAGTTCTTTTTATTGCCCTTCTACTTTTCGGCTAACCACTCGATTGAGTTATTATCGCAACTCAATCATTATAACTTGATAGCCTTATAATACCTTTTGTAACTGATTGAATCTCCATACATAGACAGAGATCGTAATTGAGAGTGGCATCTGCCTTTTCTTTCATGAATGCCAGCAGACGAAGTGCAGTAGATGATTGAGGAACCCCGGCTCACCCTTGTGAATTGTAATACTAGTTAACCCTTTGGAGAGTATGCCCGTATATTTACGGTTGAGGTTTTGGTGAACTGTAGTATGCCTGTATATTTAGGCTTCAGTTTGAAACGATCACGACAGCCTCTGCTAACTACGTATCTGCAAGTCAAGGTATTTGAATGAGTAACACTAGGTCTCAATTTAGGTGCCGAAAGGCATTTAATATTTACACAGGGCATAGCTGATCAGTGAGTTGCTAACAGTCATGATGTTAAGAAGAGAGTAAACATACTATAGCATTAATCCAAGGGAGGGATTAAAAGTAGTTTCCTTAAGTTGGTATACATTGTTAGTACAGAAGGAGGTTATGTGACGATGAACAATAAGGGATCCAGATTGAATACAATTGAATAATAATTTCAATATGATTCATAAACCTGGCAGGCATGGCGAAAAAGACCCTTAGCCATCACTTTTACTTGCATTTGAAAGCTCAAAACAGGGGCATTGTGCTTTTTATTGGATATAATTTTGGGAAATTAAACTTGAAAAAGGTGAATAGTAAGGTTTTGGGTGTCTACCTTGGCAATTATTGCGTAATAAAGGTGAAAATTGGCTTAAATCAGTACTATCCCTATCAAATTTATTATATGAAATACTCAAAAATCAATTGAACCTACTATTTTAATTCAATCAAATTCCAATAAGTCTATGTTTATATTGCAATTGAACCTTCCCAAGCATACTTCGGAACATGTTTGAAAAATAAACAAAGAGCTTTTCCCTGGGTACTGCCTTTGATGCTTCAAAGGCAGTGCCGAGGAGAAAGCTCTGCCTTTGAAACATCAAACTACACTACTATAGGAAAGCCTCCGAGTCGCCGAGAAAACTTACTCCCGAGTCCAAGGCGTCCCAAAACTCACTCCTCAACATGTTAAGTGAGAATCCTCCGTATTGCTATGATTTCAGGCTTAGTACGAGTACGCCCGAACAAAGCGGTTCCTCGCAGAAGTGTGGATATCGCCTGAACGATATCGCCTTTTTTTTATTGGCGCAGCTGGCCGAGGGGAGGGCAAGAGATAACTGTATTATTTGCATTTTCCCCCTCCTATAACTGATGAAACTCATGATGAATATGAAATGTATGAAGCAAAGGAAATTGTTCACGTGAAGAACTCAAAGGATGATCGTCCTTAGAGAAGGGTATATCTTTAACGACAGATGACGGGGAAACTACAGCTATGTGACGTCAGTTATTATCTCGGTTATGATGATCAGGTAATCGGACCGTCTCGAGCGGAACTTGGAAAAGGACTCAGTTACGATGATCGAGTTATGATGGTAACTCGATCATGCTTGAAACGGATACTTAGATTGAGTTAATGAGACATCTACATTCATTTCCCCCAACATTCTCGCTGTAAGGAGATGCGACACTCAAAGCAATTGAGTCTAGTTTATTTTCTCTGAAATTGCTTGGATAATGGAATGAATTTCAGAGTTTCATGATTCGGTTTTCCCAACTTGATCAAATGACAATCGATTGTATATACCGTACAATTTTCATATTTGGATCATCATTAATATACCTAATACACCATTTAAAAAAAATAGCAGTAGGGAAGCAGAGGCAGAACGGATACTTTCATCATCGTTTTATCGGCCTCGGAGTCCTCGTTATTGCATGTTGAATCAGAAGAATTGGAGGGAGCCTTCCGGCGACATAGAATTCACCGTGATCGCGACAGTAGATTTTGAAGAATGAGCAATAAAAGAAAGGGCACATCCACTCAAGTTAGGAGGCCAGCTTAATTTTTCTTTGTAATGGGATATTATGAGGAGAAATGAGTGGTTTTCTTAAATTGGTAGTTCGTTATATTCTGATTCCTTTTAGTATAAAGGAAAATACTTATACTCCGAGGGACACATGCTATATTGTGATTGATAAATGTAATTCATTTTTACTATGAAAAAAGTTAAAATAAAATCGATTAGGGCTGAAGCTAGTGCTTCCGATACGCCTAACTTTTTGCAAGTAATTTGCAGCTCCTCCCGCTCAGTAACAGATGATGACTTGAGGTACTGACATGGAGCCTGAGGTGAGATCCTTCAGTATCCAGGTCACACAACAAAGTAAATATGAGGCAGTCTGCCGCAGCAATACAGAAGAGAACAGAGACGGAATCGATTAAATCAGTCAAAGTAGGTCATAACGGTCCTTCAAAGTTACCTCAGTTCTAGCCGTATTTTCTTTTGTCCTCCAGATACGCTACATACTAGAGAACTCAAAAGATGTGGCCCGATTGATTATGAGAGAAGTACAGGGTATGGCAAAAAAACAAACAACTTTTAGCTTTTAAGTCTCTGCTCTCACTGGAGCTTTTTTCTCAAGACTTGTACACGAGACCCTGTACAAAGCAAAGGCTAATGTCTATGGCAGCGGTTCTCTACTTTTAATCCGTAACGGCACCTTTTTCAGACAACGATGTCGGCGGCACCCTTGCACATCTACGAACTTCCATGCGCAATAATATAAGTCTAGACAGGACCCCTGAATTAATTTTTCATAACAAGTTCATTTTGAACTGTCATTTAGAAAAACGATTATTAAAAAAAATGCATTCAAACTCTTCCACTTTGTTTTCACTCCAACGCAACGCAATGCGAAATACCTGCGCCTGCCTTTAGTTGCCCAGAAAATCAAGCTGTTGCTCAAAATTTGAGGTGACCTCACGAAGTTCACTTTTTATCCTTAGACGGGAAATCAACTTTAAAAAAAATAAGAATAAGAGGTGTGTATATATATATAAATGTATATATGTGCAAGGTGAAGAGATTCCCTCGAAAAACAATCTGGGTCAGCCGAGATGCTGCGAGCGATGAATCAACTCACAGACATCAAGGCAAAATGTATGAAAGTATGAACATAGGATGTCCATCCGCAGCAGACCCCTAGCCTAAGTGGACTAAAGCAACTGAAGAACTGCGAAGAAGGCACGAAAAAAGAGAAAGAAAGCGAAATTAGCCTGAAGCGCCACCAAGCAGTGCAGGAGTCTCGTCAGGGGCATGACCCTGCAATCAGCTTGCGGTGCAGCTTGACCCTTTTCGGCATCTCCGCACTAGGAATGAAAAAGATTAAGAAGAGGAACAATTTCTGCCCGAACAGAGAGCAGATGAGGGCGTCCACAGCTTAAGTCTCTCTCACATTCACCACATTATCACAAATCATTAGCTTATTAAGGTTCGCACCTATGCTACTCATTAGCAGCCAGTGTATTGTGTTTCATGAATGTGGAGATGGCGATGCTCAGGTAACCAACATCCCACTCACTGTTGCGCAGTGAGAAGTTTTTCCTAGTGCGGAGATCCGTGCCCGAAGGGTCTCACCACGTCCCCAGACTCATAATATGAGAAAGCTTCTCTCCAGACGTCTCTGTAAAATTTCGACCCTCCCCTACCCCTCGGAGTGTCGCCTCTAGTTACACTCTCTATGTTTTCGACCGGCTTCGTCAGGGGGTGCACGGCCGGCATTTCACAATAGTTTTGAGATACCTGTCTGAGCGAAGACATCAGATGGACGGTATCAGAGTCATGACAGGAGCGAGTTGTCCTGCTTCCCTTCTTGCCCCCCCCCCCCTTCCCGGCCAAATGTGTTGCAACCCAGGTCAGGGCAAAATTCTCCTTGACACAGTAGGCCTACTAGAATGACCGAAGCCCTAATGCGTATTCCAGGGAAGAATATTTATAACTTTCCTCACAATACTGCAATGTCACAGTCGCAACGTCACGGAAAGAGGAAGAATAGTTCAGTTCTTTTTTTTCCGGCGATCACAGATCAGATTGAATACATCCTCCTGTCCTTGAAAGCCCTTTCCATCGCGCCAGGTTATCCTCGGCTCCTGCTCTCATCGGTTCCAATGCCGGGTCCAGTACCGATAGTGCCTGCATTTGAGAAGGAATGTTTGAAAAATAATCAAATTAATTAAGATACGTATATCTTACGTGTTTTATTTCATTTTATATATTACATTTGAGAATGGAACCTACCGCGTACAAGGGAAGACAGGCCTCCTCGATCCACTTGCTTTGCATGGAAGGCAATTCGTGAATCCTATTTCTGTCCATTTGAGCTGAAGGTGTCAAGTTCAGCTCCCTCTTCTCCTTGTCTCCCTGATTCAGGCAAATAACGTGCTATGTAAATTCTTACAATAGCATTGCAACTTTTTGCTTAATTATTCCTCTGCTTCTAGTGTCACTTCAAACGTGGGGCTTCCGGGAATGTTCCAGTTTCAGTATGTTTTATTCTGTATAATTATTTTACGAACAAGAGACACTATTAGACTGAGTTGTGCAAAGCAAGGCTGTCGTGACAAAGGTGAGATATTTCGTTTATTGTGACTTTCCTAAGCATGCTCATTTGACCAGAGCAAAGCAGCTGAAAATTCATTTCTACCAAACGTTTATTACGCTCTCATTCTTGGAGTGTTTCAGAACGGCCGGGTTTCCTTGAATACATATCAGGAATAACGTATTTCGATTATTTTATTTCTTTTAAACTCGATCCAAACCTGATCGAAGAATTCGGTAGTGACGAGTTGAGCGACCTTGTACTGAATCGGCCAGGGCTTGGTGGAAGCAGCCAGGTCGCAGCCGGTCATCAACATGGCTTGCAGCAATCGGCGGTTCTCCTCCTTCCTCCAGTCAGTTCGTGCGTCACTCGACATCTCAAGGAACTTCGGTCTCCATCTATTTATGTTTATGATGTCACTTCCAAAGGTCGAAATATTCATAAGGGTATTTAGACTGAATGGTTATTCAATGCCAGCATTTTCTTTTTTTTTATTGGGGTGCGGAAATGAATTTCCGATCCAAAAAGAATTTGAATCATTCTCGCTCAGTATGGGTCATTGTGTCTAATCGGGCCACTGGGTCAATTAGCATTCCACTGTATAAATTTAGGTCACTCTGGGTCAGTTCGAGTAATTTGGATAAATCAGCTCAAGTTGAGCCAACGGGTCGACTCGGGTCATTTTGGGTCACCTTGGGTCTTCATCAGTCACTTTGGGCCGATTTGAATCTCTCTAGGTTCATTTTATTAAGCCTGGGGCACTCTGGGACATCTAGGCTGATATTGGGTTAAGGGGTCGACTTGGGTCACTGGGTCACTTGGAGCAGATTTTGTCATCGAGATTACTTTGACATTTTAGGATCAATACTTGTTGGCGGGCTAGTTCCAAATAATCTTGGTAGAACATTATACCTACGCAATTTCCCTGTGATCTCTCACTTTATTACCATCCTGTATATTTCCTAAAAACTATTTACGGAAGAGCCAAATATATATGTTTCACAGGACATTAACACATTCACTGCGTGGTATTTAAATGGCTCAAACCGTCATTGGCGCTGAGAGAACGACTTTACGAAAACGGCTATCGCCGTGATTGGCAGTGAATGTGTTAGAGTGATGTCTTTGAAAGAAGTCTACCGTAAATCCAGTCTCTGTTGGGGGAAAACAAAACACTCTGTAAATGATCCCTGCTCAAGTGGAACCTGCAGATTTTTCTATTCGATTTCTTGCATTTTTGTCGCTGTTCTTTTGAATCTCGCGACCAGGAAAGTAAGGAATCTTTGTCACGAACGCACCGATTCATCCATCTTGTCTTTATAACTTCCCAGGAAATTTACGGGGTAAGTTTTTTTTTCTGCTTAATCAAACAAATTTATGATGCAAGTACGAATTGACATAAAACCATGCAACTTTGCACAAATATTACTTCCTTTATATCACCGAGGTGGCATCGTGGAGCAGGTTTGCGTTGGTCTGCTTCAAGTGGTCTCGCAGCAATCTTCGTAACGTCCGTCTTCCACTTCTACAAATATCCTTGTCTTCGAATCGTGTTGCTAGACGCTCAGCTCAACACATCCGGTTGAATTTCAACGATGACGTCTTCAATGATTGCATGTAACTGGTCCAACGTGTGTGGATTGTTTTTGTCAGCCCTGTCCTTCATGTGGCCTTACAGGAATAATTCTGACGATGTGAAGTTAGGAAAGCGAGGTGTTCACAAACCCTTGGAGATGATAGGATTCCCGAACTGAGGTTGCAATTCTTTCTTGTGTCTTTCAATGATTTCATTCCACATACATCGGAGCATATACAGGCAATCATCGAAGATACAATCGCTAGAATTCCTGCGGACATGCTGAGTCGTGTTTCTAGCTTCATGATTCGCAAGACACGGATATGTGCAGAAGTGGAAGGTGGACAAGACAAGCCAACACAAGCCTACTTCACGCAACCATCTTGATTGATATTCCACCATTTAGATCGCATAATATTTGATATTCATGCAAAGTTTCTTGGCTCTATGTAAATCCGATCTCGAGTAGTGATTTTTTCTGAGTAGATATTAAAAAAGTTACCGTGTACTTTGAAGCCTCAATCACACCAAAAGGATTTCAAACGGAATTTTAGCTTAGTGTCTTCACGTTTGAGGTTGTATGGTATAAAAATGCTGAAGCCAATTGATGAGCCTTGTCGTTGACCCGCATTATGAAGCGTTAGGTTTACTGGAGAATTGCGAAAGTTAACCGGTACTGTATTAGTTAATTATTTGATTATTCGGTCCGGAGATACGACGATTAGATGGACCTTCCAATACATCAACATTAGGGTTCCATGGCGCCCTTTAGCACACTATATTATGATGAAGCTAAAAATCCCAAAATGTATGCCGAGTGCAGTGACCTAATCCGACAGAATGGCACAGAGTGCGGAAAGGGACTATAGGTAATATGCATCATTTTGGCTAAGCTCAGATTTCACGACACTCTCCTTTGTGAACCGGCTTATCTGAATTAATATTCTTATAAACGATCTTTAAGAAATCGGATCAGCATATGGCCCAAACAGTAACTACTGGATAATACTAATATACTGACAGACTGCTTTATGTCTTGACTGATCAGTTCCCCCGAAGCTGCATCTTGCTCTCGTGACCAATAGGCATGGCATCGTTTTATTTAATCAATCAGTGCCCTTTGAAAGAACCCTCTCCCGGTGGGGCGAGAACCCGAACACCTTTAAGAATTCTTTTGGCAGTGAAATAATTGTCAAAGAGATAATCGTGCTAAGTTCAGCCGATTTAAGGGCATGGCCCAGCTACTCTGTAGCGACTTGGAGTGAGTGCAGTGACCGCAGAGTTGAGACATTTTCTATCCTCACCTCAACCTCATCTTGTCGATGTTTCTTAGCCATAGTGTTCAATGTGGACAGAGATTTGAGATGGTGATGGAGGTGGATGAACTCCCTGGCATTCTTTCTTTATTTGACATGTAAAGGCAAATGCAGACGGGGCCTCGATTCCTCCCAGAGATATCTTGTGCTAGCTGAGGGGAGTGTTCGCTAGCTGTTTCTCAGCTCAGTATCTCCATAGGTCTTTTCGGAATATCTTCTCGTCCTCCCAGCCCAATCCAGCATTGATATCGTCAGCTATAGCTGACGATATCAATATGTATACATATGATCTGTTGGCTGTATGCATTTCCTAGAGATGTTTCAGCCCTACCGGAGGAAAGACTATTGATTCAGTGTTAGAGGAAGCCTAGTATTTCCCACTAATGTGGTTACAAATTTAGCACTCTTGGGGCAAGTTCCAATACGCTCTTTGCTGGTACCTGTGATGCCATGGAGAGACTTTGTCGTGGTATGTCAATGTCTTAATACAGTAGACGCAGCTTATTGTGATCACGTTGGTGAAAGGAAATTTGATAACATTAAGCGGCTGATGACAATAGGCGGCGGTATTGATTGCCCCCGCCTATTGGTTTTGGTTTTCGAGATTTGATGACATAATCCGGCAATAATCACAATAAGCGGTGTCTACTGTAATAGTATTTCCTCCGTGATGAATTAGCATTCCGTCCTATGGGAAGGAACCATATCAAAAAGAGCCATGTCATCAAAGCAAAGTGATTCCAAATAATCGCAGGATAGCAGTGCCAGTCTCTCCTCTAGTCTTAGACATGTAACCACCGTGCTTTCCGAATAGTTCAACAATTAAAAGCTACTTGTGACGGTGTTACTTCTGATGCAGGTTTCCAGTTGCACTCGGCCTATATTTCTTTTCGATGATGTGCATCAGACACCCTCGGTTCTGTCCTCTTCCATCTGATCTCACCAAGATTATTAAAAATATATATGGAGTTCCTTACTGGAAGTAATTGTAGAGATCTGTGGCCAAGATGCAGTGCTTCATCACGGACAGCAACCGTGAGAACTCCTCACTCCCCAGATCCGATAAAATATTTTGATCCTGCAGAAAAATGTATTTATGTTCAAAGTGGTTTCATTTTGCTTGTAAAGTGCAGGGGAAGTAAGGGTAATAGTTTACCCCACAGTTGAGAATCATGACAGCCTGATTGAAGTGATGCTGCTCCATGGTATTCTTGGTTCCATACAACATGGCCAGAGGCGATCCCGATCTATACCAGACATGACTTTGATGACTTTTTAGATTCATAGTATTTCATTAACTGGATTTGAATTTTGTCTACTTGGCCTGAAAGGCGTTGTTGGTGCCCCGATGATCCAAATCGTGACAGATGCACGAGACGATCATGGCCAGGACTTCATCGTGAGGCAAAAATTGCTTCAACCTCTTGGCTCTCTGTAAAAAGCATTATAAAATGGATTGTAACGCCCTCTCTTATGGATAAAACATAAAACTTCGTCCTTCGTTACCTTAAGTATCGTGAACATGGACTGCGTGACGTTGGTGGCATGACGCCAGTTATGATAGGGGACGTTGCGATAGTTCTTTCGGACTGTCAGAAGCCAACGAATCAGCTTCTGTAATGAGACGGAACAATAGAAGAGACTCATTCGTCAGCACCAGCAGCTGGACATGTCATTAAGGCTTGCATCCCTTAATCATAATGTCAATGTTTGCCATGACTTCGTGTTCTGTCGCCTGGTATAATTGGTCGGCTTCAATTATGGACTACCTCTCTGAGCCATTGATCGTCCGTGGATTCTAACGTTTCTCTTGAGAATGGGATATTGCATTTCTACTATCCAACGGGGACGATAAGGTAGAAATATGCCGAAGTTGAGAAACTTATAATTTTGATAAGAATAAAAAATAAAATAGAAAGAAGTGTTTCATGCGTGGTGTTCCAATTTCATGTCGCATTAGTTATTACATCCAATGAGATTCATTAATATAGCTTGTGCTGAACCAAACTGTGTAGATGGAAAAGACTAAGGAGTAAGTGGGAAAAAAGTGCGGGAAGGAAACGAACATCTTTTCTGATGTTGTAGGTTGCAGTGAGGCCGAGAGAGGAGATCATGGCCAGGCACGCGAGGATCATCTGGTCATCGGTCAATTTCAAGTCATCCCAAGTGAAACTCTCCAATCCCCAGTCCGACACCCCTGGTACTGCATCCTTCTGCGAATTCCACAAAAAACATCTCCCTCATGTTCGTGAGTATTTCGCTCTAGCTCTATCTAGCTGTCATTTTAGGGAAAGCATTCATAAGTATTTCGCAGAGTTCTTCGGAAAATTTGTTAAAGACTGTTTCTTCCTCATCACAATCCGAGGACATTCCGAACGAAAATGTATACCGTTTGTCATAAGATCTTAATAATAATGTACTTTCTCATCAATGCGTAAATAGAGGCAAGAACAAAAGACGTGGTATTGCATTTACCTGAAATATAATGTGGACAGTTCAAGTCCGTAAGCAATAACCTGCAGAGGTAGCCAAAGGAGATCTTCGAACGTCACCGACGCCGGCAATAAAAGTTCGACGTGAGTCAGGAATTCTCGATAAGGAATCGTAATGAGGGAAGTGCTAGATGAAATCGCGGTTTTTATTGTGTCGGCGGTCCGCCCTTCCAGCCGTTGACCATCCCGTAGCGAAATAGACAGATTTTGTGCGTGCGTGCGTGCGTGCGCGCGCTTGTGCGTGTGTGTGTGGGTGGGGGGAGCTCTCTGCTTGCTCTGGGTTTTGTCTCACTCGAATAGTAGTTGGTTTTTCGCTGATTTTGAAACTTGTCTCTATTGCGGGGCGGGAATCACCGCCTTCTGAGCCTAATCTGAAGGCATCTGAAACAGAGATAATCTCACATGAGGTCTATCCTATAACCAAACGGACTGGGGTGGGGGGGAATGGAGACGAGGTAGTGAACCACGGGAGCTTGAGGCGCAGTAAACGAAGCAAGATGCTGTGAGCTATTTGAAGGCGCATTGGATTCGATGTAGGGTGAGTAACTGGATAAGTAACTGACTGTCATGATAAGAGCAGAGAGTAATTGCAAGTGGAGAAGCGTCGGTGGAAGTAGGAGTCTCGAGCGAAGTCCCCCCCAGGGTTCGGTTCCGGGACCTCTTCTATTCATAGTTTACATTGACGATTTTCATTAAGACCTCACGAGTAAAATCAGCAAACGACGATGCGAAAATAGGTTTCTCCATCAGAGGGAAGGAGGACAGGACGAGAGTCTAATGGATTTATAGCTTTTGGACTAATGGAAAAAAAAGTGGCACATGAAGTTGAATAAGAATGAATGTTTTTATTCACTCTTATCTTATCCTCCACATCGGTCATAATAACGACAGGTCTCTAAGTGCGTCCTTCGAGGATAAGCTGGAGGAGGCAAACTAAGAGACTTACGTGGTTAGAGATCGCGATTGATTAGGAAATCCAATTCACAAAGGCGCTGGCAACAGTATCCAATTAAAATAGGGTCTTGTCGTTCTGCATTCCATTGCCAATAAGAGTTTCCCCATTATTCTTCCGTTATATGCATCTCTGGTTAAATCCTATCTAGAGAACTGCTTTGGATTCTGGAAACCTGCTAATAAAAGTGTTCTAACGGTGCTCGAGCGGGTTTAGAGGCGAGCTACGAAAATAATAAAAGAGGTATGAGGACTTTTAGATGAGAGACGTTTAGAAACGTTGGGACTCCTCTCCTTTAGAGAAGGCTAACGAGGGGGTACCTCATCCATGCCTTTGAGATCATTAAGGGAATCGATAACATGGAGCGTGGTAGATTTGTCTAACTTTATGGTAACAGCAGAACGAGAGGAAATCGATTCAAGTTGCATAAACTCTAAGCGAAACTCAGGTTGCGGAATGACTTCTTGACTTGTAGGTTAGTTGACGCGTGAGATGCGTTTGGCGACGATGTAGTGGCTGCCCCTATAGTGACTAGCTTAAGTAGAGGCTTGACGCCTTCATGAACGAAACAAAAAGGGAGCACTTTAGCTGTAAGTGACTAAGCAGTATATGGATATGCTCCCACAAATCTACACTCAATGTCCACAAAATTAGAAATACCCCTACATTCAACTTTCCATGCAGCTACAGCATAACCTAACCTAGGTTAGGTAGGTTAGGTTGTGACCTATAGCAGGTAGCCCTGCTTTAGTGTGTGTGTTTTGACTGCAGAATGGGCAAATCAACAGACCTCAGCGACTTTGAACGTGGAACGGTCGTTGGTGTGGAATCCATGCCACGACGAATTGATGCTGTTTTGAGGGCCAAAGGCGGTCCAACACGCTACTAGTGAGGTATCTCTAATTTTGTGGACATTGAGTGCATTTCGAAGGGTAAGCCTATCTTATTGCACATGAACCTACCTTGACACAGGACGCCATAATCGGCGAAAGTGCCGCTTGACGTCCCTGTGCCAGCCTTAAACCTTGAACTGTTTCCACGCTGTTGGGACTATGTCCAAGTGAGACAAAAGAACCTGCGGAACTTTTTAATCATGAAAAAATATATTGGGGCTATCATATTTGAGAGACCTTTTGCAAACATGCTTTTAAAGAATAGGCCTATATTCTTCAAAGATTAAATGAGCAACACATACGTGTAGTATTCATGGAATTGATGGCAGTGAACATCTCTGTTGAGAATCGAAATGCTCTTTGGGGTATGGAAAATATGGCTGTAATCATTGAGTAGCATTCTCTGATTTAAAATGTTGAGTCTGACTGCTTATCTCATTAGCTGTTTGACAAAGTAAATAAAATGGGGTTACCGGCGCTTTCGTCGCAGCTAAAATGGTCGCGGACAGTTCGTCGCGGACAAAACGCCGCATGCACTTTTGGTCGTTGCACTATTTCGTCGCAGGCACGTCACGGATAGTCGCACGGGGGAAAGGGGTGAAAGCAGGTTAACCAAAAGGTAGGAAAGAATACGGCCCCTGTGTCTCCATGAGTATCAGCTAGGAAAGGGAAGGGGAGACAAAGACATCTAAAGGTATGGAAAAGCTTGACTATGAAGAGTATATTTATACTGTAGAGAGGCGAAGTTTCGACGTGATAGCATGGCGATGTGATTACCGAAGCTGTAATGGTATGATACACAAAAGAAATGAAGTAGTGGCCAAGTCCGACCACAATCATGAACCCAGTTCCGATCGTGTCCACTTGACACATGCAGTTGAGGAGCTGAAAGCCGCCGGTCATAATTCTCAGGAACCCAATCGTAGACTTGTGTGAACTGCATCTACTTCGAGTCTTAGTGATGCCCTCGTGACGTGGAGAGTGCGACGATCGGTATCTACGACGAAATAGTGCAACGACTAAAAGTGCATGTGACGTTTTCTCCGCGACGAACTGTCCGCAACCATTTTGGCCGCGACGAAAGCGTTGGTCACGAATAAAAAGACGGTAAAACATGGTTTTCGCTGCATCATCTAAAGAACCTTGGTGTCGATACCTTCAACGCAGTGTGAATCATACTATTTACAAACAAATTTTTTTCACGCGACAGTGATGCTCAAAGATGAATTATCCAACAATGCTCACATTAAGTTTCAACAGAATTGCTCACAGATGTACAGTGTATGACATTTAAAAGTATAAATGTTTAATTAGCACTGTCCACTCATTCATCTTACCATAGTGACTGCTTTGATTGTTATAGTTGTCGATTTGATCATAGTTTGAACGGAAAATATACTCCCATCATGACAATTTGACCGAGAACGAAATTCAAGGACAGGATGACTTATCATCTAGTGTGAACGGAATAGATGATCTTTAAAGACGACTCCTTCCATACGGGCAGCCAATTCCGATGAAGCAGCTTTTAGCCCCCTTTTATTCCGCTTAGGTGGGTTTCTCTCATCACCGTGCGCAGTGGTGACAGAGTCGTCAGCATCTGCAAGAGATTCCTTTGATGTCCAATTCATCTACCGTCTCGATATTCAAGGCCGTTGTGTGGATGCACATCATGAGCATCATGATCATCTTTGATCATAGTGCGGAAAGGGCACTAGACCGAGGCAAGAGACCTACACTCTTAGAAAATTCCGAGCGTTTGGGGAGTAAAAAGTGAGCACACCGTGAGCTTTTCGAATTTACTCACCACTTGAGTAAATTCGCTCCTTTCCCAGAGTGAAAGGGGGGTGAAACCGGAGTTAGCTATTTTGCTCTTTTTTTTGGGAAAAATCGCTCCCCTTTTTCTAAGAGTGTATCCAGCATTCATGACTCTAGAAGATTAGGGTTATATAAGTTAGATTGCAAAGAAACTGAATCGAGATTGAATTTTTTCTATGACTGTGAAGCCAAATTCAGCGTTGAAACTCTGCCTCAATCCTTGTCGTTCGAGCAGGCACCGAGAGGGCAAGTGCATTATCCAGGTGTCCTTAGGGAAACGACGGAAAAGCCTTAGAAGATGAGAAAAGACGAGGAAAGCCAGGCATGGATCATCTCTTTCGTGGAATTTTAAAATTAAGCGCCTGCCAAATGCATTTCCGTTGTTTCTCTGATGACTCCCGGGCAATGTTCCTGCTCTTTAGTGGTAAGGATTGGAGGTTGAGTTTCTACACTAAAAACCTCACAAGGATTTCTGGTTCGATTTCTCCTCGCAAACTTTTATCTCGACAGGTTTTTAGCGATCTCAAATTTGCGTCATGAAAGTCTCTCCAGCGTAGGCGTTTCCAGGAAAGGGGTAGCGCGGATGCGGTCAATAAATCGTGCTCACTCAGAACCATACTTGATAACTTGGAATCTGAAATAGATGAGAATGAACCGAAATTAAAGAGACATTTGAATGGTGCGATTATTACTTAAATTACATAAATTTACTTGTTCGAGCTGTGGATTAGAAAAGGAGGGGGGAGCGATAGTTTCGAATCACCCTATAGATGATCCTGCTCAAAAAGACCTGTTGGGCTTTGTCATCGACCCTCTTGAGTATCGAAACCGTGCCTGGCCGAGAATAACTTAAGTACCCAGGTATTGCGCAGAGATAGCTCCTCCCTCCACAGCCTATTATAGCTATTATAGCTCTATTATAGCTTTTAAAAAAATACTGATAGAAAGGGTATCAAAGAGAATCAAATAATATGCTGCGTAGTATTAGTTATTCATGTGCCTCTCTTCTGCGTCTCTGACAGCTTCAAGACGAGTAACATAGAATGAAGGAGACGTTTTTAGAGTTCCGCGTCATCTTCTATGTCTTTCAATACTACCTCGTAGGATGATGTTGCTTTGCAAGGTTTCAAGAGAGAATCGATGTTGCTCGTCTTCCTTGTGCTTAAGTGTCTCAACTCGCTTCCAGTCTAGCCCCAATGTTCTCAGCCGCATTCAGATCGGGGGGTTTCTTGGTCGTTCCGCCTTTCCGAAGAAATAGTCCGATCTTTTTCGTAATCCGTGAAGAGGAAATGAAATCGGCTCACGAGCTTTGCGAAAAACAGTCACACGAATAAATCTAATTTTCTTACAATCATTTGACTTCTAAAACAACAGAATGGAGCTGATTGGAATCAAAATTGAATGAGAATTCTAAAAATATCCTTGTTTCTCTAGCTCTTATAGCTTAGGCTGCGGAGGGCCTGGGAGCTCTCCATGTGCAACATCCGGTACAAAGCAATAAAACCAGAATTCTGCTTCAGTCCTGTTCAGAATTTCCATCAATCGTTACTGTAATGCTTGGGACAAATTCATTTTTTATTTCTGGAAGGTCATCTGAGCCACAGTGAAAGAATACGGTGCTCTTTAACCCTTCAGGAAGTTTTCACGCACACCATACGATCATCACTTAGGAGGTCAGGTCAAAACTCAGCACATGAAGGGTTAAAACACGAGGAATCTTTGGATCTTTCTTGAAAGCCACTACAGAACTGTGTGCTCAAGTCACTTCTCTCCCTTTTCAATTCCAGCTTCCTCCCACCAGATATATCTACAAAGTAATGCACGGGGCTCCTGAGAAGGAAAACATTGAAAATGGTTCCGGGAAGGATGGCTTTTTGTCCGGAGTGGATTGAAAACTCATTACATTCGTCCGCTTTCATAGAGCAAGGGATTTCCTCTCCTAATCCCCATTCCTTTTCTGGTGAAATCAGGGATTTATCGATCAGTGATCGCTAGCGAAAATCCTCCTCAAATCCCTGGAGGATCCACTTGCCCTTTCGGAGCAAGACCTCAAGTCCCTGAGGTTGGAGGAATCAAGGTTGGAGGAATCTTGATCTCACCCCTTTGACAGACTGGCCTCTCGACTCCCTGATCAAGCTATTTTGAGTTCTTTACCATCTCCTTCAAGCATGTGCCTTTTTGTACCCTTTGAGCAGTACGAACGTACATTTACGTAATCAAACCTTTGCAGTAGGCAGTCTGCTCCTACTTATATGTAAAGACCTGTTGCGATGCTAGTGGGTGCTGCCACCCTTACAAAAAAAATAATATAGGATCCTATAGGAGCCCTATAGGACTCCTATGAGAATCCTATAATATTTGTATGTTTAAAAAAATCTCAGAATCCTATCGGATTTTTTCGTATAGACACCCCTTGGGAGCTGTTTAATTCTACTTGAACTAAAACAAAACCAGTAATGAAGTATTTTCTTGCATAATTAGCAGAGCTGTACCGATGGCCACATTTAGCAGATGGACCAATGGCCGATTATTATCTCATACTTATCGACCTGGGCGGGTGCCAGTGCCGATGCCTATTGTGACGTATGGAGAAAAAGCGAAGACCCATTGTGTCAAATACTTATTTAAATTGACCTATTGGGAAGCCATGTTAAAAATTTTTTTAGGACTGTCACGCAGGGTGTTTCGCAAACATTGAAGTATCGACCTGAAACATCGATAGTGCTTCAATGCACCTGAGGTGTGAGGGTGGGAGGGGTGCAAGCGGATCCAGTCATTTCTCGCTGCGATCGGGCAGAAGTTTAACCTCCTCGATCGAGGCGTGAACCTCAATCCTTATTCCATAATCCCTTGCCTTTGATCGTGGAGTGTGGGATGTGTGACCTTCGCGACGAGTAATAAAACCTACCTAATAAAGCCTAATTGTCTCAGCCCTATCAAAAATTTGAGCATTGACGAAAGCCTGATGCTTTGGAAAGGACGCCTCATTTTCATCTCCAGTCTGAAAACTCACAGGTCAAAAGGCGGACGCTGAGGATCTAAAAGCTCGATGAGTGTGTACCCAGACGACACATCACGTTGGGTGCGAGTGGGGGAGCGTGCACTCTTAGAAAAAGGGGAGCGATTTTTCTCAGAAAAGAGAGTAATATAGCTAACTCCAGTTTCACTCCCCTTTCACTCTAGGAAAGGAACAAATTTACTCCATCATGAAGGAGTAAAATTGCTCTCCTCCTCCGTGAGTAAAAACGCTTCCATCAGAAAGTGATAGGGATGTCGTGCAAATGCGAAAAATTCCTTATATACTGTGTGTCGCTATCTCTCTCGTACATGCGTTGACCTACCTCCGACTGTACTGATTACATCACACGTCAGAGGGTGGACCACCTCTTATTGGTTCCGTGAAGTAGTCGGGGATACCAGTCCTTATCACCTCATTTAATGGAGGTATGAAGGAATGAAGTTCACGGGTTCTCTACTCATTCTAGATGTCCTATGCGCATAAAATCACCCGCGTTCCAAGGGGGATCTCAAGAGGAATATGAGCTTGCTTATGGCATGGACTCCATGAATATTTATTGAATATGTGGACAAGAAATGATGAAGTGTCCTAGACGAAAAGATAACATTTTAGGTCCTAATTTCCGGACCTGTCTGTTCTTTGATGCAATACCGAGAGTATTGGGAACTTATCACTATCTGATACCACTGAAATGGTGGCTATTTTGTGTACTGTGCGAAAGCGAGACTCCATCTAGTGGTCCGGCGAAAAACTTTAAGGTGTTCACTTCAATACGAGCGATGAGGGATTTGGTTAGTAATAAGAGAGTTCGAAAAGCTCACAGTGTGCTCACTTTTTACTCCCCAAACACTCGGAATTTTCTAAGAGTGTGGGTCCAAATCGCAGTGGGCTGACCATGCTTCACATAGGCGCTTGTGCGGCCGCCAACATTAATTTGTCCTATTTGAACGAGTTATTCATCAATTATTCGAGCTAAGAAGGTTCCCACGATTGTTGTGAGATGGAGCCAAAGTAGCCACCATTTCAGTGGTATCAGATAGTGATAAGTTCCCAATACTCTCGGTATTGCATCAGATCTTTTCCCAAAGACAACGTAGGGGAAGACGCTCGATTTCATCAAAGCACTTGTTTAAAAAAAAAAAAAAAGAAGCTACCACCAGCTCTTGGTAAGTGTGGAGGGAGAATGGTTCAACTAGGGGCCTGATTCGATGGGATATGGATTATATCAGCGCTGAATCTGTGATCGTGGAGGCTATGTGTGGTTTCCCTTCAGTCGATGTAGATCCGGGTATGATAAATGGGATCACCCAAGGGATCTTACTTTCTGAGCAGGAAAAGACCCAGATGAATAATGGATGAAATCGCAAAGGGGTTCTCATCCCATGTAATGTAGAAAGGGCATGCCCCAGATGGTGACGATCGAGAAGGTAGTACTCAGCCGAACCGAGAGCGACTCGGTGGCAAGGTTCCTGAAAGGGGGGGATCAGTTATGTTTAAAAAAAAGAAGCTTTCTCCAGTCCTCTTCCTGGTCAGCATTTGATTTTGGTCCAATGTAGGCCTCCAACGTGGGGCCGTGGGACAGGCTTACGAAGGATCAACGCTGGTTCCCAACGTGAGGCCCACATTGCATATGGGGAATTCCGACATGAGCCTAACGTAGGTGTGCTGCCGCAGGTGGATGAGTCAGGTGTGAGATTTTGGTCCCACTCCTAAATTGCTGTCTTAGTCCTTAATGCGATTTTGCGGTTTAAAGAAGCTCGACCTGGAAGTCGAGGGGGTTGGAGAAGGGTTAAGAAAAGCATTCTAAGTGGTTTTTAAAAGAAAGTGCTCACCATTAGTTTCTCCACCTCTGACGTCGAGGACGTGGAGTGATACGCCATGACCTTCAGATAACAAAAAAAAGAGGAAAAGACAACGATTATGAAGTAAGTTTTGTGAAGAATACTTGGAAAAAAAATTCAACTCACCTCAAGTGCGACTTTTTGGGTTGCGAGAGCTCGTGTAACTTCGGCGTACAACTTGGCATTAGCGATGCCTAGCCCACAAAATATGCAGAAGGCCTGTGAAAAAGACATGCCGCAGATGAAGACTGAAGCGCACGTTTTGATATGTTCCGAGGAAGAAAAGCTTGCCTATAATTGACGGAAGCCTTTGAAATGACCCAGAGAACAGACAGGTCCGGAAATTAGGACCTAAAATGTTATCTTTTCGTCTAGGACACGAGAACATGAATTTATCGTAACTGCACCTCTCCGCCTTCATGAAATCTAATAAGGTTAGGCGAAATAGTCCATCAATCTCCCTCCGTCTCGTCTATTGCATTATACGTGAGTTAGAAAGAGGACATCGTAGAGGATGTTCATGGGAAATTCTCGGTGGAATGGAATTCAAATGGATCGCTTTATATCGAAGTAAACTGTATCGCCCAATCTCAACATGATGGAAAAAAAAAAATTAAATTAAATTAAAGGAAAACAAACTAGCAGCAAGATTCATTTCAAGATTTTGAAATGTGAGACATTGTCATAGAGCAGGGAAAGAAAGAAGACTGACTGACCTCGAACCACCGTTCGTCTTGTTTGTCGAATGGTTCACCTCCTCTCTTGTTCACGATCGTCGCCACGCCTAGAAAACGGGAAGGAAGCCTGACCTTAACTAACAACATTCGAATACGACTTTCCTCGAACAAGTCTCACCCATGATTTCCATCTTCACATTCCTGATTGGCATGGCGAGGACAGAATGAAAGTTCTTCGGCAAATCTTCGCTGGATGAGGGGTCGAGGTTCAAGATCTGACCGCTGAATGCCACTCGATGGGCCAGCTTCGATAAGTATTCCTTCACCGAGTCACTTAGGAGAGGAAAAAAAAAGAAGCAAACACTGAAGAAAGAGAGCACACGTGTCAGAAGATTTAGAGAATTTCAGGAGGAAACGGTTTGGGCAAGAGAGGGAGTCATTCAATGAAAAATTTTCAATAGGAATTCTTTCCTCTATATTTATTTTTCCCCCTTCTCAATGCAATTTAACTCCATCTGGGAATTATTTCTTTCCTCGACGAATTTCGTTCTTTCCCATCCTATCAAAGAGCTGGCAGTCTTTCTTTTGAAAGGCATGAAAAAAGTTCATTGATAGGAGGGGCGTATGAAGTTGTTTTCCTTCTCTTATTTTCTTGATAAAGCAGCGGACCGAATAATAACGAATAAGCACAGTGGAATGGAAATAATTTTTTTTTTAAGGGGAAAGTCAACACAGCATATAAACCATGCTAACTGTGGAACGCTTACAAGAGATGAAACCTATAAAACACTGATGATTATCTTACTGATTGCTCCTCTCAGTCTTGGAAGCATCTTGGTCAGAAGACATTTCAAATATTTCTCCAAAGCGACACTCCTGCGAAGGGAAAAATTACACTTAGATGCTTTCTTCTGCTGCAGTCGCAGTAGGCCTACACAATCTTTAAAATCCTCCAATGTCTACCGGTTTCAAAATCCAGTATCTGCAAATCGTATTCTCGCTTGCCGTCAGTCTGATTGCGCCTAATGTTATGTATTTCGCATTACTTTTTAAGTATTAATTCCGTATTACCTTCCATGTTAAAACTCCTTTCAAAGAATGTGAGAGAGGTAGGCAGACCAGAGTATTTTCTTCGAGGAGGGACACGGCAGCTCTTTCGACGAGGAGGAGCCTCTGAGTCCTCTGAAGGATTCTTAGCACTACCGAGTCAAGGCTTCTCTGTTCCTCGAATATGTCGTGGATCACTTCCACCAGTTGCTATAAAGATCCACGGTAACCGATTGGGAATCTATTCAATGGACAGTAAATACTGCAATTTTAATGCATTGATAGAAGTACTTACCCGATTCCTCTCGTATTCCCGTCTAGACGCCTCCAGGACTCGGGCGTTAGCGATGGCTATACCGATGAATTGAACATACGTCTCCAGCAACTTTAAGGAATGGGATAGTACATGTATAATTCTAGGGATAAAAAATGATACATCTAGCAAGTGCTTTAAGGATGATCTACAGATTAAGCTTATCATAATTTCCTTTTGTACCTTGGAATAAATGTGATTTTTTTAGCGGCAGATGTGACGTCATGCGAAAGGAATACTGAAATATCATTATTCTTCACATGTCAAAATATGAATTATTATCTTGCCGCAGCAGAGAGAACCGAAGGCAAAAAGATAAGAAATCGAAGCTGGAAGGGGTGTCATGACGATTAGATACGTAACGCCATAATTAAATGTGATTTATTGATCTGGAACAGCACCTTTATCGAAAGTTTCATTAACCCTTCTGTCCCAAAATCTATCATAGACAACCTTTCCCTTCACGCACCCAATTGGTCAATGGAAAAAAAAATGCGTGGTCGCTCAATTTACTCATGAAGGTACTGCATGCATTATCTCAAAGCCGAGAACGTCACCAGAAACTCCTCCTTAATTCATATTTTGTATTTCATCTCCAATATCACAACCCCCCAGAAGAAAAATTTATGGACATAATAGGTCACAGGTCCACTTTTGTATCATTTCTGTTTATCAAGCATGAGAAAGAGGGTCTTATCTGGATGGATCAAGGTTATTATAGAAGCATGTAATCATGGTCACGTCTGACCTTAATTTTCTCTTCTCCCTCTCTCTTCTCTTGATCGATCACAAAGCCCTATTCTCAGAGCCCAATCTCGGCGGTCTAAGGGAAGTTTTTATGGCCTCGCTTTATTCTCAGAGTAGTTTCCCAGGTTCAGGGCTTTTGTTACACTTCCCCCGTCGGATAATGAGTGTGTGAAAGAGTGCACGAGTGTGCCTATTATGATCGAAGGAGATCTTGATCCTCGGGGAGACCTTTCCGTTTAACCTTTCCCCCTGAAAGGCTTGCATTAGTAGGGTTCTCTGGAATACTGCGGATCGGCATACTTAACAGGCTACCCTTATTCTCTCCTCTTTCTCTCACCAGTCATTCCTTTACAATTACAGACCTAAATGCCAAGGTTAAAATCTTCAATTATGCCGTTTTATGTGCTGTCGGATGCATTAGAATTATCGTACAAAAATAACTACTGATAAAAATAATGTAAAAATGAGTTTATTATTTGTTCCACGTTGCGGATTTTGCTTTGGACCTCGTTTCTTTTTCTTTAAATGGTAACGCTTATTTCCATAGCTGGGCGGAGATTTTTTCAACACCCACACACAGTCAAAAATTTTCGTTGGTTTATTGTCGGGCCGTAGCTGGGGAAATTGACTCATCTTCGGCAAATGATGGGCCGACCAACTCACAAGTGTGATTTGGCCGGCAATGTGACTGAGAAGGTTCCGAAGAACGGCGTGAGACGGAACCAAAGTGGTCGTAGTAGGAAGCCGCTTCCCGGATTCTACTGAAATGAGTCCCTTGCTCCTTTGTCACAGTTTCCTATTGTTTCTCACATAGATCTCAAAGGAAGACAATTGAATTCCTTAAAACATTTCTCTGAAGATGTAACCTGGAACTAACCAGAAAATTCAGGCCCCGAGGTCCGTGAGAGGATCCTTCTACTTTCCACGATAGGCCACGCGACCTTTATCTCCACTTCAAGACATGGGTAAGTTTTATTACGGGCAAGGCGTGCCTGCCCTGTCCTCCTGCGGGAGAACAGATACCCTTACATTCCCATGTGATTCCGCTTCTGGATGCCTGAGCATCCGGAAAGAGTGTTGCTGGGGATGTTCTCAGCTCTTGGTGCTAGGAGTGTACCTGGGTAAGGTACTGATCCTTCATCTCTCCTGGATGAAGGATCAGGAGGCGGGCAAAGGATGCATTCTTATCTCTCCAAGATGCATAATGCTGTAGCTGCACCGTTCGTAGTTTTTTTCCCTAAATCTTTTCACCGTTTTGAAAAGTCGGCTTATGGTTGGGACATGTGTGGTTTCCCAACAATGAGCTAAAGTTGGCCCAATGATGGGCCAAAAGAACATGCCCGACCATAAACCGGCTTAAACCAACCGTAAGGTAACCATATGCCAGTGATTGCCCAAATACGGCTTATACCACGTATATGCATCGACGAAAAGCCGTCGATTGCCCGATGAAACATTTTTGACTGGACAGGATGATCTGCAAGCCTTTTTTTAAATGTAACTAAGCGCTCGCAGATTGAAATGAAAAAAGAACGTAACGCGCTTGTTGTACTAAAAATGGTACTCTTCTGTCTGAAGCTGAAGAGGGAATTGAGTTTTGACTCGGATTCATTATTTCTCGTGCGTATGGTCAGAAACGCGAAGTTTTGGGCTAGGAACGTACACTCTTAGGAAAAGGAGAGCGATTTTTCTCAAAAAAGATAGTAAAATAGCTAAATCCAGTTTCACCGCCCTTTCACTCTGGGAAAGGAGCGAATTTACTCCATCACCAAGGAGTAAAATTGCTCTCCTCCGTGAGTAAAAACGCTCCCATCAGAAAGTTATAGGGATGTCATGCAAATACGAAAATTCTCATATATACTGTATGTAGCTTTCGCTCTCGTACAGACGTTGACCTACCTCTGACAGTACTGATTACAGAACACTTCAGAGGGTGAACCACCTCTTACAGGTTCCGTGGAGTGTCCGATATACCAGTCCCTTATTACCTCATCTAATTGAGGTATGATTGAATAAAGTTCACGGACACCCCCTGTATATTCTAGATCTCCAATGCGGATAAAATCATGCGCGTTCCAAAAGGTTTATCAATAGGAATATGAGCTTGTTTATGGCCTGGACTCTATGAATGTCTTGAATATGTGGATAAGAAATGATGAAGTGTCCGTGTTTATTGATTCCTATAATGAGACTAGGCGAGACATATGTGTTCACTTCAATACGAGCGATGAGGGAGCATTTGGTAATAAGAGAGTAAATTCGAAAAACTCACAGTGTGCTCACTTCTTACTCCCCAAACGCTCGGAATTTTCTAAGAGTGTAGGGTTTTTGAAATTGAGCGCACCTGTATAATTGCGGAAGGCAGTCTATGGTTTGAGGAAAAGACGTTATCATACAGTTGACGTAATTTTAACTAATATCCGTTATTCCAAGTTCTGCCCAAGGAATGATGCTGCATTGCATGTAGACATCCTCATGACGATTTAGAAAACTGGCATTGGTTGATAACGGCTACAGGGAGCAGGCCTAGATAGTAGTAGAAATGTACAAATCAGAACGTAAATGGGCTGTTTATCTTATGGGAAAAGTCGAAGAGGCAGCAGTAGGCTCCATGAGAGCGTAAGTGACAGAGATGGAAGGGACATCGGGACGGGTCTATTCACCAAGCACTGGGAGAGGGAAAGCAGGGGAAGAGGAAGGAGGAGGACAGCTAGATGAAGAAAAAAAAAAGAGAAGAGTGAGTGCGGAGTGGGTGCAGACGAAAGGAAGAAGGGGGGCAACGTCCTAACTGCAATGCATCACAATCCAATAAAACAACGATCGAAATAGGGTAGAGGGAAGGAGAATGTCAACTTTCCCCTTGCACAGTCAGCAAATCACCCCTTCGCCTTCTTTCTTTCTTTTTCCCTATCTTTCCCGGACAGCAAGATGGATAAGGTAGGTACACAGAAAAAATGGAATTGTAATATTGGGCGAAATGCACCAGACCAATCCATGCATTGCTTTCATTTTAACTTAATGGATCTATCGAATACCTTGAAATGGGTTGCTTTGCTTCTCAGGAAATCCCCTCAATAAATTAATCAACCATAAAAAATCTGAGTAAGTTTCGGAACCCTTCCTTATCTCAGATACATTTTTTTTTAAATCGAGAAATCCTGGATAGCTTAAAAAAAATGAAGAAATAACTTCATTATAAACTAGGCCTCATTGCCTGAAAACCCGCACTATTTACTGTAGGTCTAATTATCCGCCCGCGCTTGCTCAAATATTTGCGTTGTGTCCCGGGTCAATCCCCCCTCTATCTGGATTATGATATTTAGGCCTATGAGAAAGATGACGAAGAGACTGACTTTGATGGTGTCGGTGGAGAAAGTTCCGTTGCGTCGGATGACCTGGGCTACTCCAAGGACCTTGCCCCAAGGATCCGGAACCGGCAAGGCCATCAAATTCGCAGTTCTTGGCAGCCATTCGATCTGCTCCTGTCATGTTACCAGCCACATTGTGAAAACGTCGAAAACTTTCTCCTAATTAAAAGAATGTCTGCTTCACGATACCGGCTGCATGGGCTACATGGGTTACTTTGCAGGTATTTTTCTCCAGGAGTATTAATAGAAGAAAATTATCGAACCAAGTGGGTCGTGTAATGTGCAGGAGATGGGAATCCTATGCATACTTAATGGAAACTCAATTTATCCTATAAATAGATGAACGTCCCTTGGAACGGTATATGACGTCAAGGAGGGACTATATTGCATGTCTCGAAAGCAACTTTCCGTCTCTTGTCCATGAGGAAATTGCACCAGCTCAATGCCCATACGTTCCTCTCAAGAATGAGCCGACAGCCTGAAAGAGACATCTGGGTGTACCTTCATTGAGATAGATTTCGAATTCATGTTTCACGGTTAGCTTCTCCTAATCTTTCAGCCTCCCAATAACTTCATTTTGAGAATTTATGTGCGATTAAAAAACAAACAGGCAAAATCGCATTTTCGGAATTTACCTCGGATTACCTCGAAATAACAGGATATTAATCAAGGATTGGAATGCATCTCAAATGGTTTCCATTCAGCAGGACTTCCTATGCTCAATTTTCCATTTCTTGAGCTCACAGCCCGCATGCTTAGGTAATATTCAATATTGCAATGCTCAGGAATCCTGGCGATCGTTCGGAGGATATACTGCTACCGGGTTTATTTTTGTTTTCACCCTTAACCTCCTTAACCTTAACATCCTCATTTGAAGACCTCAAGATGATTCAAATCCAGGAAATGAATTCATTGAATGATTCTGTTGTCAGAGCCGTCGTCTCCATTTGGTCAGCGTTTGAAAATTCTGTAGTGAGGAAGGTTTGTCGCATCTGCGGATATGTGCGCCAAGAGATTGTTTCATTGAGCATCTTCGGAAAAGTAGGATCCAATCATGCTGAAGGTAGCTACATAATACATCGAAAAATGACATTTATAGTGCTCTGACGTTCCCTCGTTAAAAGGATATGTTATATACTAGAAAAGTAAAGATTTTAGTCTGTTGATATGCTCCAAGAGAGATTAAGCTTCCAAATGGTCTTCATCGGCGAGATGAATGTTCATGAGAAAGTTCGGATTTTGAGCAACTTCATCTACCAACTGACAAAACTGTCTCTGCTTGTCATGCTGACTCAACTCATGCCGTCGATGGGCTTCATAGGGAAGAGTGAGGGTACACGACTAGCTATCTTTAGCACACACGAGCGACTGACGTGAACGCCAGTCGCTCGTGTGTGCGAAGGATGATTGAGATGGATTGCATCGTTGACTGTGTCCTTTCGCTGATAGGAGATTTCGAAACTTCAGCGTGCACATAAACTACATTATTTACATTCCTGGTCGATTTGCTTCTGTTGCTCCATCCCTGGTTTGATTCTTCGACTGTACCCGCAAACATGACAAACTGCTTTTATAAGTCTAGTTCTTCGAAAAAAAAAACTCCTGTTGTACAGCAATAGATTCAGGCTTTCTGTTTTATCGTTGAGAACAATGAATAAGCTACGCTAGTGCTGCTATTCCATCGATAAGCGATAGAGTTTTTTTCCAAGTCACGTTGCGTATTAGGTCACAAAGGGCGAAAGGAAAGGGACGAGAACATATGACAGAATGCAGAGGGGGGAAGGGAACAAGTTCGAGGACCTTACTTTAGCATATCCCCCGGCTTGCAAAGCCTTCTAGCCTGGAGAAGCTTCCAAAGGAAGATACGGATCTGAGTTGCGTTAAGCTGAAGGAATAAAGAGACTGAGAGACTGAAAAAAGGGGAGAGAGCTCAGATAGAAAGATCGTGAATGGAATAACGTTCGAACGTGTGCCAA